AAAAAAAAAAAAAAAAAAAAAAAAAAAAAGGACTGTAAAACACCACCCGAAAAGGACCTTGACAAGCTTGCTCAATGCATTACAATATAAGAGAATAAGACCTAACAAATAATTAACGGCCTAAAAGGAGCCAACCAGGACTAAATGAATTACAATCAAAGAGAATGAGACCTAACAAATAATAGAGCTTGTCATGTAGCTCATTTTATACAAGTCCATGATGTAATTGAAGTTACTTCAAGGTATCAGTAATGAATTCCGCATTCAACTGTAAAGCATGAATACTGATGGTACTGGCAATAGAGAAAACAAACCTGTTATTATCTACTTGGCCCCAAAAAGAGCATCCACATTTCCATGAAATCTCAGCACAATAGATGAGTCCTTTCAGCAATAAAGTACAACGATGCAAGTAGGATGGAAACTGATTTCCAGTTGTGCATGTGTGAGATTATATCTCTTCCTCATTTAATTACAAATAGAATACAAGATAGATATTTCTAAATGGAGGTCACTTACATTTGCGACGACACGACAGAAATGAACTTTTTAAGTTTTGGTCCATGTCACCAATGCAACGCCCTCTGCTTGTTGAATCCTCCCACTATGCAAACCCCCCATCATTTAGTAAACTCACAGAAAGTTTATGACAGGAATGCCATTGGAGGATATTAGAGGCACTACAAGGGGTATATTAGCAAATAGTTAGGGAGCTTGTTGTGGTATTTGGTTATAAGCAGCGAGTGGGAAAGGAGAAAGTTAGTCATTGATTCAATAGTTAGGGAGAAAGTTCTCTTTGAAAACCAACTCATCAGAAAAATAGTCATTTATTTAGAATCTGATTGAACTTCTATCTCCATTATTGGCAAACATCTTAGATTTTGATCGTGAATCTAATCCAGAAAAAACTTTAAAAGATATTAGTAACCAAAAACAATTGGGAAAGTCATCTCGTACTTACCTTTAACACAAAACCACACATTTTCATGACTGTTTTTCTTTTCCACCCAAGAAACCTCCATACAGGTTGCTATAAATGGTTTCGTAGCTCATTCCTTGAGCACTAAAATAATTCACCAACCATAAGACTGCAGACTGATTTACCACAATTTCACTCTCACTCGTCTTGTTGAGTTTCTCTGCAAAATCAACCAAACTATGAAATAGCATTGACTCATTCGATACAACCCAGGCAGCCAAGACAGCAGCAGAGAAGCCCTGAAATGCATCATTAGGTAATAACATGATAGCCTCAACAAGTTGAGGTGATGGTGCATTATAACAGCATAAATTTAAAAGACCTTCGACGGCAATGGCATGCATGCTTCCATCTATTACACCGGAGCAGAAAAGCTTCAGAACTATGCTCTCCACCTGAACCTTTGAGACTATAAGCTCTGACCTTATCAAGCCCCAGAGTTTATGTTGTTCGAAACAACCCCAGTTCAGAGAGCTTTTAACTAAAAGAAAAATGGATTCAGCATCCTTACCAAACACAGAAAATTTCTTTTTGATGATCTCAAACTGCATATTCACAAGATCAGTGTCATCTAACTGGGTAACAAGTAATTTTACAATCTCCTCCTTGCATATGCATAAATCTGAGAGAAGATCAAATGCGCAACAAAATAAGTGTTTCGCCCTCCTAGCATTCCATTCCACACAGGACACGAAATCAAGATAGAAGACCTTGGTTAAAGATACATCTGCGTCTTTGTACAAAATATCTTTTGAATTAGCTAGGAAAGATCTATAAGCAGAAAAGGCATTTGTTACCAACTCAGAAATCACATCCTTGTCTATTTTAGAAAACGAAACAACTGCTTCTTGAGGGTTTTCTTTCATACCAGTCCTGAAAGAGTAGTACCCATTCATATGAAACTTCAAAAACTGGTTCTTTGAATCAATTTCTGCACCATCACTGTTCTCAATCTCTGAATTGCCTGTAAGACCTTCTTTGTTTGCCTCATACGCTAGACGAAATACATAAGACAACAATCGGGCTCCCACAGGCAATCCATTCCTAGAACAAAATAAAAGTAATTCTTGTAGTTTTTTTCCATGATCAAAGATGAAGGTACGGATTATTAAGGCAGTGGCAGATCCTATTTCATCATCATAGCTGGGATCATTAGGAAGTAGTTCAAGAGCAGAAAATAGATTATACCCGCTCAACTCATAGGTATTTACAATTCTGGAAGACAATATTTCAGTGCTTATTGTTCTGCTAGCTTGTGCATTGTCATCTAGCGAGAGAAATAAAACTAGAAGTTCTTCCAGAGTTTTGAGGCCCATTTTGTAGGATTTCCTAATAACTTCTCCAAGTTTTTTCACCAAAATCTCAAAATTGTCACACTGACGTACATCGTCTGCCACAACTGAATGATGAGAAGCACATACATCGTCCATCACAACTGAATGATAAGAGGCAGATACATCAACCACAACAGGAACAGAAGCACCAACAGATGTAGCACTTCCATGGGCAACAACAATGCTGCTAGGTTGCCTTTCAGAATATATGACGCCAGTTTCTGCACAAGATTTACTTGGAGGAGAATGAGGCTTTATAGAGTGATCAGGTACACCAAATAATTGTGATTCCTTTGGAACTTGAACCTTCCTACCTGAAGAAAGTATCCTTAGCCTGTCTCGTAGTATTGGAGAAAGGCCATCAAAAGAAATCAAAGCGTCCAATGAAAAAATTACTCTTTTTTCAACAAGTGCACTAAAAGCTGATGAGACACCCAAAGCTATTTTATCCTTCCTTTCGATATCATAGTTGTCCACAAGAAGGAATAGAAATTCAAGAAGAGTGTGCACCATATCAATGTATCTAGGTATAGAAAATATCATTAACAGCATTGCAGGCTCAATGTTCATAATTTTGTCAGTTTGATCATCAAAGAAAAGCCAATCATAAAATAGAGCAAGTTTTGCATTGGCTTCAATATAATTCTTCTTACAACATTTCAAAAGCCATCCTATAACAGCCCATCTTGGAATAATATCAGACTGAATGACTTCATTCGGAGGATGATGTGCACAACATATAAACCGAATGATGTCAGAAATGACAGTTTCCCTCTCAGATCCACATAAAAATTTCTTGGTAAACCACACTTGGTAGCGATTTTGAGAGCCCAGTTTCACATTTGTCATTAAAAACCGTAGTTGGGCCTCCATTTCTGGAGTAATACAAAGCAAAAAGTATCGACTTGAAGTTCTTGTGTAATAAAAATTTGAAATATCCAAAAAACCAGGGGTTTTAAAGTTGCTCGGGTTTAATAACAAGTCTTTCCATACAGCTTTAAATTCAGGTACATAAACTAGGTCTTGTAAGAGTCTAATAAAATCTCTCCCTATCTTCAAGCAAAAATGAAATTGCTCCCTTATTACTTTAATGCAAAACTTAATCTCTAATAGCTTCAGAGACTCCAATTTTGCAGTAGATAATCTGCAGTGATCAGCTAATAACCGTAGAAAAGTATATAATGCACTTGGTATAACCTCTGGCAATTCTTCCAACAAACAACTCCACTTGTTCAAAAATAGATTCACCATTTCAAAACACAACCATAAATTCCCTTCACCAAAATCCCCACCAACAATTTGCCTCAACAGGGATATCAAAACACCATCAACCCCAACAGCACATACATCTATCATTTCCTCAGTTACAAAAAGTATCTGACTTTTTGCTGAACCAATGAGTTTAAGATATAGTTCATTAACAACCTTCCGAAGCAGATAAACAATCAGACCATAACCATCAATGACTATCGCATGCAAATGCTTGATATGAGTTTTAGCTAAAAGTGGTTCACATAAAATCCCATATAGAATAGCTTGATTCAGCTCCAAGTATTCTTGTGGATTTGGGATCTTTAAGCAAAACGGAGGTCTTAATTTTGGTTCAAGAAGATTGAAAGCTTGTCTCAAAGAGAGCTCAAAATGATTTTCAGCTTCATACGAAGCCACGTGAATGAGTTTGGAAATCATCTATTGTATAACAATATGGTGAGATACAGGGGGAAGAAAAAAGGGAGTCACTGATTGACCTTTCAGCAAAGCAGCTTACAAATGGTAATTCTGCTTGTCCCTTGAATAATTGGAGATCGAGCACCTAGTTTGGAAAAGGTGGAGCATAGAACTCAGGCATTTGAAACTGAGCAGATTGGTATGGAAAGTCCTAATGAACTTCCTAGCAACTAAAAGTTATGTTAAAAGAACATCAGCGAGATATAGCTCCACAGTCAAAAGCCATAGCAGAACAAGCCAGTACTTCGAATAAAAGCTAACTATCACAAACCCAATCAAAGACATACTCCAAACCAAAAATATCAAAACAAATTAAGGAAAAATCCAGTGCCTGTTCGGAGATCATCACTGATACCACAAACAACTTTTCTATTGATTCAGAGCACAACTAGATTCAATTTCCACACTCAATAATCCAAAAGCGGAATGTTAGGGTTCAACGAATCGCCAATAACTCGCTTCTGCTACTGATGAAGGAAGAAGAAATCAAAAACAATACCTCGTTCTCAGATTTCGTGAATTAGAGAAGAAAGAACAGAATCAAGTGGGCTCGCAAACAAGAAAACCTCATATATCAATGTTCGGAAATGGCGGCAAAAACTTGTCAAAAAGATGGAAGTCGACCACGTAACAATTTTGTTTAACGTATGATTCGACTTCGTTTTTTTTATTTAAAAAAATATATTTTTTCAATTTTTTTTAATTTTTAATATTCTAAAATAATAAAAATTCTTCAAAATTTTGTGTTTTATCCATATTATATATATATATATATATATATATATATTAAACATAAAATTTCAAAATAGGGAGAAGGCGCCATCTTCTTTGGGCTGCCATTTCTACGCAGAGTTCAGTTCCCTTGTCGAGAAGATCACAGGTCTCTCCGCTTTCTATACATCATTCAAGTAAATCGCGCGTAGTGTTCTTTTAACAATTTCCATTCATTTCCCCTTTCTTTCTCGATTGTTGTGTTCGGGCTTTGATTATGATGTTTATGCTGGAGTTCCAATCAGGCATCGTTGAATTTTGAGTTTTTCGGTTACTCTCGTTTCTATTTTGGTGTCGGTATTTCTTGGTGGAATTTCATTTTGGTTTATAGCTTTCCAAGTTCATAGAAGGAGTTTTATGTGATTATACTGCTTGCTAGGGTTTAAGTAGAGGTTTTCCATGAGAATTTATGGTATATTTTAGTGTTGTACTAGTTTCAAGGAAGTTCATTTTGACTCATTTCATTACTTCGGTTGATTATCTTTGAATTTTGTTAAAAAAAAAAAAAAGATGATCTGGAATGAATTTAAGGTGAACTATCGAAGTATCCTGAAAGTTTACTTCATCGGTTGGGAGGAGAACGAAACATTTTTTATAAGGGTGTGGAAATCTCTCCCTAGCAGAAGTGTTTTAAAAACCTTGAGGGGAAACCCGGAAGTGAAAGCCCAAAGAGGACAATATCTACTAGCGGTGGGCTTGGATCTTTACAAATGGTATCAGAGCCAGACACTGGGCGATGTGTCAACGAGGAGATTAAGCCCTCAAGGGGGTCGACACGAGGCGGTGTGCCAGTAAGGACGTTAGGCCTGGAATTGGGGGGTCCCACATCGATTGGAGAAAGGGAGCGAGTGCCAGCGTCCACACTGGCTCCGAAGGGAGCGGCTTCGGGGCTGGATTGTGAGATACCACATCGGTTGTGGAGGAGAATGAAGCATTCTTTATAAGGGTGTGGAAACTTCTTCCTTGTAGATGTGTTTTAAAAATCTTGAGGGAAAAGCCAAAGAGGACAATATCTGTTAGTGGGCTTGGACCGATTTAAGGACCAAACGGTTTGAGTGGCCCTCTCAAAGCTCTTTCCTAACCGGTGTTGTAAACAATTAGGACACAGGAAAAATGCTTTGGTTTACCACTTGCCCTACTCTGCATATTACATATTAATTCCACGCTACTTAATTTCGTATTCTTATAACGAATATGAAGGTGCAATTTATGCTTAATGTATACATTTATATTATTCCCCATTTTCTTAGTTTTAAGATTTTTTTATTGTTATTATTGAATTCAGATTATTAATCTGCACAATCACTATCCAAGCCACTATTCATCGAAGAGAAGATAATAACAACAATGACAAGTCGTGTTACCCCAGGGCGGCTGATTATCCCAAATGAAAATTTGGGCATGACTCAAAAGAGTAAGTCTCCACATTGCATGATAACCATTAGTTTTGGCTGAAATCTGTTTGGCCAATGAGCATTGTCAAGCTGGTCAGTGGAGATCTAATGTGAAAAGATTCTGTAAACCATGGCTTGAAGTTTCATGTTCATGCATTTCTCATATAACATAGAACATCATTTAGCAGTTCATCCTGTAGTATTCTCTATTATGTTCTTTGTTAAGTTCTATAAATTTTCTACAGAATTTTCTGCTGATGGAAATGGAAAAAGCTCTAAGATAATTCACAAGAAAGGGATAGCAGGGTCAGGGCGTAAAGCTCTAAATGACATTACAAACAAATCAACCTGTCGCCAGGACGCTCCATTGAGGAAGCAAGAAAGAGCAAAGGAAGAAATTGATGTAGGTGGTGAAAGATTTTTGCATGATCATGATAAATGCGTTGATGCACGAAAAGCCACTATGTCTGCCTTTTACTTGGATCTTGTTCTTCCTGGACATGGTAAGTTGTTGAATGTCGAGGATAAAATTGCTTGCAATTTGATAATAACTAAGTCTGCTAACGATTACTGCTTTTCTGAAATGTTCTGTGATTACTTTTATTACTATGTTCATTAAGAAAGTCCTGAATGGTAAAATATCTCCAGTAATTTATCTTTTTACCGTCATCTTTATATGAGATTTAAAGCCCAAATTTTCATATGCAGACTCATTGTCCAAAGTTGGATGTCATACGTCCGATCAAGCAAAGGTAATTCTTCTTAAACTACTTTCAAATTATTATTCTCTACTTATTTTTTTTATTCTTTGTCCTGTTGTTACCATAAAAAAGGGCATACGTATTCATCACTATAGATTGACTCAATGCTTATAGGAGGAAATTGTAAAATTCAAACGTGTTTTAGTCATAAATTCCAACTTACTACGAATATTAATGTGTTGGGATTTTCTTGAATCTAAATACTATGGTTTGAGGAGATGATCTAAGGTAGATGTGTGTAGGCTGAGAGAATTTATGGGTTATATAAAGACAATGATATCGATCAATTGATATAATATGATTTTTCTTGATGTGTTTCTTCTCTTCCTTTTAATTAAACATATACTTTTTTCTTGAGAGGTGTCTTAAACTCAAGAATATTCGCCTATTTTCATTCATTAAGAATGAAAGTATTGCTATTAGCTAGGAATATGAGAAGTTTTTAATTTTGATAAAATTGATAATACACAGTCGAAACTTAAAGTATATTTCTAGTCACCATGTTTCAATCTTTATGTCAATGTGTCCTTATACTTCAAAAAGTTTTGTTACTGTCCTCTTAATAATGTTTTTAATCCTGAGTCGTGAATCTCTTTATGCTATAGATTGATGTTGACGCCCCACAATGTTACCCTGACCCGGATGAATTGTTCATTCCTGAGCTTCCTAATTGGTCAAAGTATTTGGCCAAACAACAATCACCCCCACGCTCCCCATTGCGTTGGGATTTTCCATCAACTTCATTTTCTTGCCAATTTGGGGAACTCAACTTTGTGCTTACACATGAATGATGAAACTATGTCGTACGAGGATTGAAGTTTTCTTATCTTCCCACAGTCGGAAAGCATTCGTAAGAAAGCAATCAATTGAATCAAGTGATTCATCTATATGATTAGCGAGAAGTGTCCATTTGGTTAGTTGTATAGACTGACTTTTTTTTCTGCACCTATGCATCGATGAACTGTTTGTAGAAGCAAAGCATCACGACTCTTGCTTTGGAGACAACCTTGTTAATTTTAGAAAGTGGAACTATGATAGGTTCTCTTCCATGGTTTATTACTTATTTTCATGGCTATTCCCTACTATCATCTCTTGAAACCTTTTTGTAGGGTTGTTGAGAAGTTCCAAATCTTAGAATCTAATTTTTCGATGAATTTGAATGTGCAAATTAAGTTTCATATATGTGCAATGAACTAGAATTCGTTTCTGTAGTAAACTTGAAATTCAAATGTCTTGGTACTCTTTTTTACTACTCAATTGGCTGTCAATTGACTTCGAATAAGCATGTTTAGAAGCTCCTAGATGCCAAATACTAGAAGCCCTATGCATGTTCTCATTGGATATTGGTTAATAGCGTTAAAATATCATCACTAATCTAATAGGGTCAAACACAATAATTGTATGAGCTCATTGTATTTGTGTAGGTTCTCATGGGATATTGGTTATTAGTGTTAAAATATGGCTCAAGGTCCACAATAATTGTATGAAGCTCATTGTATATTTGTACATTTATTTTAAAAAAATGATTTAAATATCACAAAATTAAAGATTTAGATATTTTATGAATAGATTTAAATATTTTAGGAATAGATTGACTAGTCTCTGTTGTAAATATCTCTCCACTCTATCAAAATTTTCATATTTTCATTCCAGGTAAGAAATCCAAAGCACAAAGTAGTGTAGAAGAAATCCAACGCACAAAGTAATGCAATAGTTTCTATAGAATATCTTGTAATCTCTTCTCGATTAGTGTTAATACAGAGTATAAATATATCTCTTCTCGATTGGTGTTAACAAAGAGTACAAGTGTTTTCAACAAAGAGTTGTCAACCCAAATTTCTAAAATTTTAAATCTAAACAACCAATTTCGCTAAAAAATCATTCGTTTTAATATATGAAAAGGAACAAATATAAATAATCAAGATTTAGAATATGAAAGAAAAAGGGGGAGGAAGAGGGGCAAGATGTTTTTGGAATTATATTGAAGCTCATTTCATCAATAGACAGCAAGTAGTAGTATTTACATTTCTCATAACCCCCACCCACACAATCATACAGAGAAGAATGGAAAAGAAAGAGAAAAGAAAACCAAATAAGAAAAACACTAAACCTGAAAGAAAGAAGAAATCGACATTCGAAAACAAATCATCAAATCCATCTAATTTTTCATCTAATTGCACCAAATGTTGTCCCTTTCTTTAAACCTATCATCATCATAGTTGCAAATGATTGGGTGTCTGGCTGTTTGCACAAATCAATGAGTCAACTCTTCATTTCCAATACCAATACTAGACTTGTCCATCACACGTACATTATATCGTTCGTAAACTCGTGCACGGTTCTCTGCCCACCATTGCTCTGCTTGCTTCTCTGTAAATCGCTTTCGACTGCAATCAACCAGTGATGATATAGTTCAGAAAATTTTGTATGGAGAAAAGAACATCAGGCAGTCGATTGCTTACAATATGAACAAACAAACTCATAATAAATGAAAGTAAAATCGCTTAGTTAACAATTTCCCTTCCATTATTTATTGTTCTTTATAGTCTATATTTATTGTTCTTTCTAGTCTACCAAGGTGTTCTTAAATCACTACGATATCTAAAAGCCTAAAGCTAAAGTTCCAACACTATGAACTTAGTATTAACCATTAATTTGAAATAAGAAAGAAATAATATTGCAGGAGTATGCATTCAAAACTTGGTATCCCAAACTTTTTTTAATAAGAAACCTATGAGTGTACTACTAAGGCAAAGCAAACGACAACCTAAAGGCAGGGAGAGAGATTACCCCGTCCAAACGAAGCTAATTACAAGAACTTGTCATGATGAATGATCATCGACATCGGATAGTTGCAAAAGCATTTGTAGTTGCTAAGGCACCACTAAGTTGTAAACTGTAATTTATACTCCACACTTGAAATGGACCACAAGGAATCTTTCTCAAAAATAAAAACAATGCTTCTAGTAAACAAACTATTCAATTTTCTTCTTTTTTATTTAAAATGAAGAAGAAATAATTATTAAACAACCTGCAATTATTCACAACGAAGAAATGTACGGCTGTGAGAACAAAAAATACTTGGTTATCATGAGTTTCTACCAGTAGGACTCATACAATGGATACCTGCAACAGTATTTTATGGGTAGAACGTGCATACCTGAAACGAACTCGTTTAAGATCCTTGGCACCTCCGGGTTGTGAGGTGAGTGTAATATATACACCAGGCTCATCTTGCTCTACCCATTCTGCTTCTTGGCGAGATTCACTTTCTTTGATTCTATTTCCATTCTTTGCTGAATCCAATTGGCTCAATTTGCTTTGAGTTGAAGACTGGTTATTTGGGGTACCCGACCCATTAGAAAACAACTGGACACTTGAACAATTAGAGTCGGTTTCTAAGGATGTTGCTTGAGCACTTAATTGGTCAATAGAAGTGTTGATCAAATGATTGAAGGTTGTGCCGGAGCTTAAAGAGGCAAGAGTTGATTTCATGTTACGAGCAGCTCCAACTGGCAGCCTTTCAGCCATTTCCTTCAGCTGTTCACCATCCGATTGAAAGAGATTTAGCAGTCACTAGGTAAAATTTGCATTGAACTCTAGGATAAAACAATCGTGCAACATATTCCGGGCATCAAAATAAATTTTGGGTATAGATTAAAATTGACCAAATGCTTAAGAAAAACATTTGAGAGTCTCCAATGTACGAGCACAACATAACCAACCAAGCTATAATAGTTATTTATGTAGTCATAAAAAGGAAAACATGAAGTAGTCATTAAAAACCATCTTACTTGCGCAGTTAGTGACTTGATCACTTCTTTGGCTGCATTGCATCTTGCAGCCTCCTCACTTGCTATCGATATTGCTTCCTTTAACTGCTTACTTGTTCTTTCTAGCTCAACTTCTTGAAGTTGTGCTTTGCGTGTAAGGTTTTCAACCTGAGAGAGTATTCGGTTAAGCATACTTATTCTCCAACACGATAAGTATAGTCTACTACTTCCCGTAAAGTTTTATTAGATAAGACTGTCATGGATAAAGCCAAACAAAGAAGCAGAAGAGATGAACCTAATAGGGTGTCCAGTAGAAGATGAAATAACCACATACCAAAGACAAATCCACCCAGTAGATTATAAGTATATTCCTCTTTTATAAACTATGCATGTACAAACTATTCTTGATAAGGAAGCAACCTAATTAAAGAAAATAATAAAAGAACAAAAAAGAGGGGCACGGAATACGAATAGGGTGGCCCCATCGGCTAAGGTTCGTGGTCTCTGAGGAATAAGTATCTACACAAATTATAACGAGAAAAGTACACTGACACTTCCTAAACATCATTACAGTTTTGACTAATCAAATCACATAAGTGTCATTAAAGGATTAAAAGCAGAAAAAAAATGAAAAAAGAAATTACCTGAGCCCTTAATCTAATAACTTCCTGGCTAAGTCTGTTGTTTGTGCTTTTAGCATCATTCACCGCAATCCTTGGAGAGGTAAGTCCTCCAAGAGTAGGAGTGGGAGTAGTTGAACGTGGAGGGCTGGGACGCCTAGATATTGGTGATGTTGCTCGAGAAACAATTCTTGATCCAGGAAGAGATGCAGCAAAGAACTTTTTTGAAGATCCAAAGACCGGGTTAAAAGATTTAGAGATATTAAGAGCTCCCCGCTGAGAGCCTCCACTTGGAATTGGAGAGACCCTGCTGCTGCTAAATTCTAGTTTTTTGTTTTTCTTTGAAGCCTGACTTTCCACCTGCTTGAATGATTCAACAGAATGAAGCCTAGAAAGTTGAGCCCGAGATTTCAAGTCCAGCTTATCATTTTTATTCACAAGTTCAGTTGATCCCTGATTCATGCTTCCTCTTCTGCTCAGTGAAGACTGGGAAGAAGCGTCCATTTCAATAAACTTTTTAAGCTTATGATAGCAATTATCACAAACACGATAAGCTTTGTTGGGGTTTGGTGCCATTGAAGCCTTGAGAGACTTCTTACTGCTGCAAGAGTGACAAAACACAAGACCACAATTATAACAGTTGTGGCGTTTCCTTTTAAAGTTAAAGGGTAGGCGGCAACCGGAACACATGGATTGATCAACACCTGAAACCCACTTGTGAAGGCAAATAGCTGCAGTAAAATTGGTGCCACAAGCAATGCTTTTAACTTGCTTATCCTTAAGAGCCTCAACTAATGTCGGAGTATTTCTATCATCAGTGCTGCCATGACCTAAACGACCATTCGCCCCCTTGCCCCACGTGTAAACCTCAGTTCTAGAAGTTAAAACAGCAACATGATATGCACCACAAGCCAGCTCCTCCACAAAGCTTTTTGAGAGTTTTCCTTCAACACGTATTGGGAGTTTTCCATCAGCTTGAGGATTCCCTAGCTGACCATAAACAGGACTTCCCATAGTGTAAACATGACCAGTGTTTGTAAGTGCTACAGTTAAACTATGTCCACAAGCAACTTGACAAAAGTTCGGTTCAACAAGAGCAGCAACACAAGTAGGCACAAGTTTTGCCTCTTTGTCACCATGCCCAAGCCGACCTTTATCTCCATCCCCCCAAGTAAACAGTTTCCCTGAAGAGCTGTTATTCGAACCTGGATTTCCAATTATAACTTCTACAACTGCAGCAGTATGCCAAACACCACAAGAAGCTCGGACAGTTCTTAGACCTCTGAGAGATTCCACTTCTCTAGGTATTGAAGTGCTGTCTCGATTTCCATGACCCAGAACACCGAATGTACCATCACCAAAAGTAAATAATTTTCCAGCAGATGTCACCAGTGCTGTATGCCAAGGTCCACAAGAGATAGATGATACGTGTAAACCCTGTAAGGGCCCAGTTACTCGTTTTGGAACCCAGTGGCTTACTTCTTTTCCATGCCCGAGAAGGCCAGAAGTATAGGTTCCATCACCCCATGTATACAGATCGCCAGAAAGTGTTACAGCACACGTATGATATTCACCACATGCTACTAGTTCAATGTTTAAATTACTGAGGGCGTCAATAAGCTTTGGATGAAGAGCATCAGAATCTCCTCC